AAAGGGAACATTTCTCCGTGCTCATGTCTCTCTACTCCACAAAAGGGAACATTTCTCCGGGCTCATGTCTCTCTACTCCACAAAAGGGAACATTTCTCCGTGCTCATGTCTCTCTACTCCACAAAAGGGAACATTTCTCCGTGCTCATGTCTCTCTACTCCACAAAAGGGTTCTACGTGCTCATGTCTTTCTACTCCACAAAAGAGAACATATCTCCGTGCTCATGTCTACCTTCAAAAAGAAAAGGGAGCATTTTTCCCTGCTCATGTCTCTCTCCACAAAAGGGAACATTCTCACCTGACAAACGATCTCCTGGCCAGGATCTCGGCATGGCTGTCGTTGAGGACGTCCCCTGTATCCATACAAAAAACATCTCAAGTTACTTGTGTGAAAAGGTGAAACATCTAGAAGATACCGGGATTGTGTTCGAAGTAGATCTCAGATAGTTCATCACAAGCTTAAAAAACAAGGATAGCTACAAGGAATAAAGTTACAAAACTTTTTCCACCACAAATCCTGATAGTGTTGAAGACCAAAACTGTTGTGTCTCAGAACACTATTATTGTGCAAAAATACTTGAAAATGGTACTCTTTCCGGACGTATCGCCGATATATCCGTGTGAGTCCACACCCCTTGCCGACGTACCGCCGATATATCGGCTCTGATAGGGTGCCTCAGTATTGTTTCGTTTTAACACGATCCGTCATTTAAAATTACTTTTTATTGTTATTGAAAAACTCGGAAAGGACTTATCTAGTTTCACTTTGTCAAAGCGTGGTTTTGGGGAAAATGAGTGAATTTGTTCTTGCGGTCTTGCATCATCAAAACGATGTAACCGGACTCAGCATAAATATCATAACTCTAACAAAAATTGGAATATTGCTTTTAAATAAAAAGCTGCGCATTCAGAAAAGTATGGATTATGCTCTTGGCCTGTATATATATATACGATAAGATAGCTATGCTGATTTGGTTTCACATGTTTCGAGAAGGTGTTTTTTTCCGTCAAAATTTATTTTTCTTATCACTCACAGCGCCGAATCAGCGGTCGTTTAGTTTCGCCAGGCCGTACGCCGCTAGGTCAGCGTGACCGGGGTCAGC